AATCGTAGAAGAGACAATTATAAGATAATAAATGATAAAAATAATGACCAATTGATAAGTTGCAAGTTAAATCGTAGAAGAGACAATCATAAGATAATAAGTGATATAATGACCAATTGATAAGTTGCAAGTTAAATCGTAGAAGAGACAATCATAAGATAATAAATGATAAAAAATAATGACAAATTGATAAGTTGCAAGTTAAATCGTAGAAGGGACAATTATAAAATGATAAATGATAAACAAGAAAATGAATTTTATAAAGCAAGAAGAAAAAAAGGGAAACTAAGAGAGTGATAAGATGATAAGAAATGTCTAATAATAATAATAATATTTTTATTACTATATGATGATAAGAGAAGAGAGAAAAAAAAATTCAAGCTATTAAATGTATATTTTTGGAATAGAAGAAATAAAATGAAAATTTTAGTAAATTTAAAAAAAAAGAAAAACGAATATATATGAAATGGATGAATAAATTACTGCTAATCTTATAATTAATTAGCAATAATAGTTTGTAAATTAAAACTTTGGAAAATAAAAGATAATATGAAATTGAAAACAAATTATTAATAGAAAATACAAATTAAATAATAACAGTTTTATTCCATCCATCCATCCATCCATCCAATCTTGTCAACCATTCAGGATGACCGATGAATGGTAGCAGTTGTCCATCTCTCAGGACAACCGATGAATAGATGCAGGAATGGGGAAGCAAGCAAATGGGAGAGGAAGGAATATGATGATAAGCAAAGATTGAAACAAGATTTTCTTGGAGGAAGTGAAGGAAGAATGGAAAAAAAAAGGGAGGGCGAAGAAAGAAGGAAAGAAAGAAAGGATGAATGAAAAAAGGAGGAGGAGGAAATGAAAGAAAAGGAGGAAAGGAAAAATGTCGAAGAAAAAATTATTTTTAGTTAAAAAAAAAAGAATGAGAGGAAAAGAAAATGAAATGTGCAGTAAAATGAGAAAAAGAAATGAAAGAAAGAGAGGAAAGGAGAAGGAAGAAAGGAAGGAAAGGGAAAGGAAAGAGAAGGAAAAGAGAAGGATGTAAGGAAGGAAAGAGAAAGGAAAGAAAAGGAAAAAAGAAGGAAGTTAATGAAGCAAAGGAATTAATTTCAAATAAGCGCAACAACAGGTGGTGTATAGGTGGAAAAAGAAGAAGCATAATATTAAAATAATAAAAGCTTTAAATTTCACTATTTATTCGAAATCCTTCCAATTTTTTCTTTTTCTTTTAAATTAACATAAAAAATTAATGAAAAATAAAAAACAAAAAAAGGAAAATTTGAAATGGAAATTTTTTCTAAACGAAAAAAAGAAATTTGAAATGAAAATCTTTGTGGAATTTCTTCTTTTCTTTTTGTTTTTATTCGAATTTTTATTAATTTTGAAAGAAAAGAAAAAAAAGAAATTAAATTAATAAATATGGAAGAAATAATAATATGTATAAACTCTATTAAAGTTCCAACAAAATAAAATGCTCTCATTTAAATTACTTCTTTTTTTTTTAATTAAAATAATAAATAATTGGAAAATAAAGTTTATTCATTCACGAAAATATTTTTTAATTAACGGTTTTTACTCAAAATTATCTGTTTACTCAAATATCAATATCCTGTAGTACTTCTTGTTTATCCTTTTTTTTTTTAAAGATTTAAGTAAACAGATGATTCCGCTACTTCAGATTAGCTATTTACCTTTTTTTTTCGTTATTTTGAATTAGCTTATTGATTCAAATTTGTTAGTGTAAAATTTGCAATTTTAGGATAACAAAGATTGGAATGACACTTGCAAAAGCAAAAGAAATCAAATATTTATTGAAATTTGTAATCAATAATTTATTTGAAATGAATGAATTTCCCAAGTATGTTGTTTTTTTTAATAAATTCAACTTCATTACTTAAATTAAAATGTGCGTATGCAAGTAGTGTTGGATAATGATCGAAATAAATGCACTGGTTCTTAGTTTATTTCACCTTAAGTTACTAATTAAGCTACTCCTAATTAATTAAACTAATCTTACAAACTTGTAATAATCATTGCATTTGCTTATTACATAGTTCCACTTAATTCACTTAATTAAGCATGAATTTCTA